AGTTTCAGGGATCCACCTGTCTCCATCCCTTGTACTCTGCGCTGGGGTTACAAACACAGACTATTGTAACCAGGTTTCATGTGGGTTCTGGGGATCCGAAACTTAGGTCCTTGTGCTTGCAAGGCAGGCATTTTACTGATTGAGCTATTCACCCAGTCCCATCTTTCCCCCTCTTTAACCCATGAAGAAATTGAGATTCGGAGTGATAAACCTCAGTTGCTTGAACTTCATAGCAGAGCTGAAATTCAAGTCCACATTTGCTTCACTGCTGTTCCCATCTCCCAAAAGAAGATGCTGACTGTCAGGTGGCTCAATGACTATACATTGAACAGGGCAGGATGGCTGGCCAGGAGCAGTAAGTCTGAATATGAGCCTTTAGAATGGTTGTGACAGTATAGCTGCAAATGTCTCGGCGGACAGGGGCCTCCAACAGGGCCGGATCACTTATAATTGACAATTCATTCTTTGATGAGAAAACTGCAGTTAACAGCGCTACCTGCCCTCCCTTCCCCAATGGGTTCTTTTTTATTTGTTTGTTTATTTATTTTTCTTTCTATTTTATGTGTATGCGTGTATTGTCTGAATGTAGGTAAGTGTACCCATGTTGTGCAATGCCTGAGGAGGACAGAAGAGGCCATCGGATCCCCTGGAACTGGAGTTAGCTGCCATGTGGGTGCTGGGATTCGAGCCCGGATCTTCTGCAAGAACAACCAGTGTTCTTAACCACTGAGCCATCTCTCCAGTCCCTCCCTGCAATGGGTTCTTACTTCCCTTTTTATAGAATCCAGAAACGGCTGGGGTGGAATGTGAGCTGAAAGATAGCACCCCAGTCCACCGGTCACCCAGGTGAAGGCAGAAAGGGGGCAGGACTATGTCAAGCACATCCACCGTTTCCAGCTCCACACCGTCCCCAGGGCTCTGCACTGGCATTTGTCTGCTGCTTTTTTCTCTCTAATAACCATAGTGGGTTTAAGAGGGGCTTAGCTTTACTTCTCTTCTGGGGTAGCTTAGGTATCTCTCAGGCGTCTCTGTTCTGAGGTGACGTCTATGTCCTGTGGGAGCAGCAACGATGTGTTCACTCCAACTGTACTGACTAAAAGGAGGAGATGACAGCACAAACCTCATCCTAGTCCCCAGGCATCTGTTAAACACCTACTGTGTGCACTGGGTTTTCAGGCCTGGTGCTGTGAAGGGGAAAGGCAGCTGGGAGGTCACCATGACCCAGAGAAGAGTACTTGGTCCCACACACTGAACTCCCCAGCTGGAGAGGAGCAGAGCTGGGAAGGCAGTTTGCTGTACCTTCTTATCCCAAGTCAGGCCACAGCCCTGAAAAGAAGATGGGAACACAGAGCTTTGAAAGAGACAGAGGGTAAAGGGAAGCAGTTCTAGACCTAGGCACAGATAGAAACTGCAGCTCAGAGAGGGAAGGTGACCTTCCAGAAGTCACACAGCCCATTGGAGGCAGAGCTAAGAGCAGAGATTTGCTGCCTGCTAGGCTAACTATCTTACCGTTTTAGCTACTGAAACTCAAAGCCTTGCTCCCTCTCTCAAGGCCTCACTTCCTCCAACATTCCCACTCCTTAGGCCCTTAGGCTTGGCAAGAATCTGGGACACTCAGGGTAGTGCCAAAGGGCCTCTTTGACCCCCAGACTCCTATGGGGCTGATCTCTGCTGGATGCTGCTCTTGCTCTCCAAGAAATCGAATGTCAGCAAGGGTAAGAAATGGATTTTCCACTTGAGCTCAGGGCCAGTGGCCTGCTTTTTCATGTCTATACACTCTTGAGAAGGGGCTGACCTGCCAGGTTCCTCCCTAGGGCAGAGCCTATCAAATCCCATGGCTTGGCCTTGCTCTGGGTCTCCCTACTCTGTTTCAGATCTGTGGGCAGGCTACTTGTCCCATAACCCACAATCCCACCCTGGCTCACTTTTTTTTTAAAAACTTTCTATCCCTCCTGACAAGGCACCTCTTTGAAACCTGCCTCCATTGTTACTTAAACAAAGAAACAATTTTTGAAGGCCCATGTTTGAGCACCTGCCTAGGGAAGGCGGCACAGAGCAGCTCACAGGCATTCTGCAGCTGTGGGAAACTGCCCTCTGAAGTCTCAGAAACAACACGGGACAGACTGGGGCTGTGACACAGCAAGGGAGAGCCTGTCAGATGGTCATAGCTATGCCTAGACCCGGCTCTTGAGAACAAGACCAGCAAGGAATAAATATCACTAAACTATTCACAGCTGTGTATTGGGAGCGTGCTAACACAGATAGTTCCTCCTCTGGTTTATAGACTTTGCTGAATGTTGCTAAACTGTTGCAGACAATAACGGAAGCAACAAAACCGCAGCCCCCCCCACCCCCGCCAGCACTCATTGTCCTTTAAGAGTCCACTGAGGCCAGGTGCAGTGGCACAGGCCTTTAATACCTGTACTTGGGAGGCAGAGGCAGGCAGATCTCTATGAGATCCTGGCCAGCTTGCTCTATATAATGAGTTCCAGCTGGGACTATAGGGTGACCCTATCTCAAAACAGGAAAAAAAAAAAAAAAAAAAAAAAAAAGAGTCCACTGTGGCCTGGTCTTTACCCCACAAAATCACTGCCAGGAATCACCAGTCACCAGAACACATATCTGTTTCCTGGAAGCTGCAGGTTGTAGGGGTGACAGGGAGAGGGACCCTCTCTCCTCACCCATGAACACTCCACACATATACCTGTCTCTCCCTCCTCAATAACACACACACACAAACACACACACACACACACACACACACACACACACAAAGCCCATCTCTCCTACTCTCCCCCAATGCTCTATAACCAGCTCAGTGTGAAGCCCACACTATAGGACCCTGAATGACTCTTTTCCAACCATAACTTGACCATCAGGGACAGAACTGGTTTTTGCATGAACCCTAAGTTGCCTTGATTCATACTTTCAAGCTGATGAAACTCTCGGCTTTCAGCTGGTAGAGGTTCAGAGTGAGTTATCTCTCCTACTCTCCCCCAATGCTCTATAACCAGCTCAGTGTGAAGCCCACACTATAGGACCCTGAATGACTCTTTTCCAACCATAACTTGACCATCAGGGACAGAACTGGTTTTTGCATGAACCCTAAGTTGCCTTGATTCATACTTTCAAGCTGATGAAACTCTCGGCTTTCAGCTGGTAGAGGTTCAGAGTGAGTTTTAAGTAGAATTTGTACTGGCAAAAGATAACAAAACAAAGACCTCGTCCAGAGTGCCAGGGGTTGAATCCTGTGTGCCTCTGAACAAGTAGCTTGAACTTTCTGTGCTTCAAGAATAATTCCTACTTCCTGGGGCTGTTATGAAAACTACTTAACAGTGTTTACAAAGCAGGTAGGTGGGCAGGAGGAACACCTATACCCCTCCCTCTGTATCTACTGGCTCATACTGAATTTACCATAGGAGACAGAAGTCTCCCATCTCCCACTATCCAATAGGAATGACAACAGAAAAAAAAAAAAAAAGGATTTTTTTCTTTTAGGAAAATGTGATCATTCTGAACACATACTTGCACACAATTCCAAGAACTGCCTGAAAAAGAACACTTATCTATTTCCATATAAACCTGAAATAAAATACCCACAGTCCAATCTTCTGAATCCACTTGAAAGACTGAATCCTGACAGGTCTGTGAATTTAGACAGAGCATCAGCAGGAAGCTTTAGAAAATACTACCATTTGATTATTATCTGCGCAACCTCCCTGAATGTCATTTTCTACCTTCTTTGCTGGAAATCTTGCTCTCCCAGAAAATAATCATGGGGTCTCTTGGGTTCACCGTCTCATGTTTAAACACAACTTAGGAGTATTTAGAGAGGGAGGTTGGTGGGAACCTCAGCGACTGGTAAGCCAGGGATTCACATTTTAAATCTCTGTGGTTTTAACTCAAACAGCTTTTCTAACAGGTCAATAAATGTACAGTCGGTTTACTAACTGATGGAAAAATCAGAGTCAATCCGCGCCCCTCGCCCGAATCCACTTCAATCTTTTAAATGTAATCGCTTTTGAATGCCCTGGGCTCGGTCAACCCGTCATCTCTCTGCGTGGGGCCCAGGCGGTTCCCACTCACTAGTCTGGAGCCGCAGGCGTTGCTACCCAGGGTGAGGAGCTCGGCACCCAGGCCCACTCGCCTCCCTGGCCTGCGGTGCTTAGGTGCCTGCACCTGGCAACCCCGCGCGCTCCAGAACACGCTTGTCTTCTGCAAAGTAGCGCCTGTCCCCAGGCAGCGGGCCGGGTTATCGAGCCCCTAGCCCTTCCCCGGCTCCCGCCATCCACGCAGCCCCACGTCACCCCCAAAGTTTACCCAGCAGGTGCTGCAAACGCTGACTGGAGACTTTCCTAAACTCGGGGCGCCAGAACTGCGTCTCCAAGCCGGGTGGCAGAAGCGAGCAGGGCTGCGGGCTGGAGAGCGAGCGTTGCGCTCCCGGCTGCAGTGCCCCAGGACCGACCCGAATAGGGCAGGTGGCACCATAGCATCCTGGAGATGCTACGTTACTCAAGGGTCGCGAGGCGCGGGCGACATCTACCTCTGGGACCTGAGGCTTTCCACGCACGGGAAGGGGCAGGAAAGAGCGCCCAGCACTGGACAAGGGCGGCTTGCGGGGTTCAGGACCAGGACCCCAACCCTTCCAGAGCCCGGGTTCCCGAGATCCGTGTCTGTAGGGGACCGAGCTTCGGCCCCAAAGCCTGCAGCGATTCTCGGTGCAGAGCCGGTTCCTCGAGTGGGCGGACCCCCTATCCTCCCGCGCCGCGTAGCTTCGCCCCAACCCTTTCTTTTTCCACCGCTGTTCTAGTTCTCCCTCGGCCTCGTAAACCCGGCTTCAGAGGTGCAGGGAGAGGATGTGAGGCTGCGCCCAGCCTCCTGGGACGCGCCCGGGTCGCCGATCCCCTCCCCCAGCACCCCTAGCACCCCCAACCCACGCCTGTCCGGCGCCCGCCGGGCGGAAGATGCTCCTGATCCTGGGCGGGCTGGTGAGCTCTTACCTTCACGAGCCGGAGCTGCGGGCACCGTCCCATCCTCGGGCTCGCTCCGTCACCGTCCTGGATGCCGGGGTCCCTCGGACATCCCAGAAGGGCCGGCGGGTGGCTGCGATCTCCGGTGGCGCGCGCTTGGAGGCGAGGCTCCCGGGTCGCTGCGCCGTACTGTGACAACCGGCTTCGCCCCGCTCGCCCTTCCCGGGCAAGTCTGGCCCGCCGGCTCCCGACTCAGCCCGGCGGGCTGCCGCCTTTCTCCAGCCAGGAGCCCGCGTCGCCCGCCACCTCCCCCACAGTCCTCCCGCCGCTCGCCTCGGCTCCCCGCCCCCTCGCTCGCGTCCCCTCCTCTCTCCCCCTCCCCTCTGGTCTCTCCTCCGCGCCTCGCCCCTTTGCTGGAGGCCGGCTCGGGTCCCCAGGATCCCCAGCCCTTCCCCGGCCGGCTCCCTGCTCCCTCGCTGCGTTCCCCCGCTTCCCCCGCACCCGGGCTTGCGGCAGTCTGCTGGGCGCGAGGGCAGCGGTGGCTGCCGCCGCAGCTCCAGGAGAACCCGGGATGGGGGAGGCGGCGGCGGGAGAGCAGGCGGCCTCCGGAGCGACCGGAGGTCGGCACCTGGGAAGTCTGGGGGTTCTCGGGGGACTTGTGGGGCTTAGGGCTGTTCAGGAGGCTCCTGGGGGCTGAAGAAAAGGGCGATCTGGACGAATTGCAGCCGCCGCGGAAACAAGAAGCCGGGAACTAGGTTTGGGTCGTTCCCGCCCTGCAGCCAGGCCAAGAGAAGGTGCACCGCCACCCCCACTTCTGCGAGGCGGGGGCCTGGGCGGGACCCCTTGCGCCTTTGGCATTGACGCGGCCAGTGAGCCACAAAGCTCTGGAAGGAGCCCTCCCTTTTTCATTCATTCGTTCGTTCGTTCATTCACTCATTTTTCAATTTAAGCATCTGCCTAGTTTGGTCCAGACTAGAGACCCCAAGATGAAGTGGAGACGGCGGTGCTGGGCAGGGCTGGCTGGCACCTGGACGCTGAGAAGGGGAAAGTGGGGCGCGCGCCGAGCTGCAACACAGTGGACGCAGCTGGGAATCCAGACCACCTGGCGCAGAGCAGGCCACAGCGCCACCTCTCGGCCTAGTCTTCAGGGTAGCACCCGACTGTCCCGCCAGACCTCAGGTCTCCATCTGAAGGGGCGTCCTCACCCCAGCTCTGGAGAGCAGCTCCTTCCACCTTCAAACCTTTTAGGTGGAGAGAACTTCGGAGTCTATAGGAAGTAGAGAAACCTTCACGCCTCAGAGCCCGGCCTCCATCGCCGACAGTGGTTGCCCCTGAGCACCCAGAAGCACCCAGGCAGATCAAGGTCCTAGGGTGACCTCCAGCCTACTTTAAAATCTAACTGAGCCTGGTTGCGCTAGACTCTGTGCCTTGTGCAATACCCACCCCGCTTCCCTTATACTCTCTTCTAGGCACACTGGACAAGAGGCAGTGCGCCTAGGCACCCAGTGATTATCATTTGGACCTGGAGTTACTGGAGATCATGTGATGATAGTTTATTGGTGAGGTAACTGAGGCACAGGAAAGCATGGCTTGCCCAAATCCCCATGGTTGGTACCCTCCTTCCTGATATTCAGCTTAACATGCCCCGAGGCCTGGGCTCTGATGGGGTTGGGGGCTGTGAAGCCTGAGGAGCATTGATTAACCCCCCAGGCTACATTGGCTTAGCCACAGGGGGTGCACAGTGCAGGTGCAATGCAGAGTTCCTAGTCTTCAGACTCAGGGCAATGACTCACACCAGTCAGTCCCAGAGAGATGGACACACTAATCAGACAGCCAATTCACTATTCTCACTGTTAAAAGGGAAACTTGAAGGAGTGACTGGGCATCCTATTAGTCCTGAGTCAGGCAGCCTGGGTTGGAGTCTGGGCTCTTCCACATTCAAGCTGAACAGCTCTGGAAAACGATTTAGTAGGGCCTCAACAAGTTCGTTTGTAAAATGGGCATAGGGATGTCCATTTCCCAGGGTTTTTGGAGGTAAAGGGCTTGGCATGATGCTTGGCAGAGCCCTACTCACCATCATCATCAAGATGGAGTGAACCAGGTGCTCTTTCAGGAAATTCTTGGCAGGAAGCAGATTCTTGAGGAAGCAGATTCTTGAGGAGAAGAGCCCTGGCACCCCGAACTATGAAATAGGAGGAAGGGGAGGAGGAGAGGCTAGCAGGTTCCCAGGGTTACATCCCAGCCTTGGAGCACAGTGTTCTGGGGCTGTCCTCTGGATTCTGGTTCTCTGGGGTTAATAAACAGCAGCAGATTTCACCTCTGAGCTCATCCTCCTCCACTTGACATGATCTTTAAATATGCTAATACCATCCCCTCGGTTCACAGTAATCAAGTCTAGTTCTGCCTTTGAGTTTGGAAGCCCCTGCTCCCCCAAGTGTCTCCAGCCAGCCCAACTCACCCTGACTGTGGTATTCCCTGACGTGACCTCTATCAGCTGGGGTGGGGGCTTTGGCCTCATGCCAGGATCTAACTTTATTTATAGTTTTGGCCTTGATAGTCCATGGGGTTCTGAGAGCCTCAATTTAACAGTCCTCAGAAAAAGGCTCCGTATCCCCTTTCATTAGTCTGGGAACCGTTTCCTTTCACCTTCAAGGACCCGGTTCTGTACTCTGCCTACGAAGATTTTCTAGTGTCTACCTGTGTCCTCTCACCCACTTCTCTATGCCCTCCTTGCCTCTCTGCCCACCTGGGGTGGGGCAGACTGATAGCTCAGGTGGTCACCTGGGTAGCCTCTCCATACCCTGCCTTGGGCTTGCTTGACTCCATTTGAGTCTTCCCTCCTCAGCCTGACCCTTCCCATACCCTCTTCCCATCATTTGCCCTCTTCTTCTTCCCATCAGCTGCGATCAGCTTTCATTCATAGCAACATTTCCAAAGAAAGGAACAGCATAAGGAACTCAAACAGAAATAAAAGATAATTGCACGAACTTCCAAACAGTGGAGAGATGTTAAGGGTAGCAGTGTGGAGGTGTGGGGGTGGGGCATGGGCTCTCCAGTCAGGACAGAAGGTCTGGAAGCCAACTTCTCAGATTGCATGTGACTAAGAACCAGACATTTATTTATTTATATATTTATTTATTTATTTATTTATTTATTTATTTCTTTTTTTTTCTCATTCTGTTTCCCAGGCTGATGTAATGCTTTCTAGCCTAGGCTGGCCTTAAACTCCCAGCAATCTTATAGCCTCAGTCTCTCGAATGCTGGGATTACAGGTTTATTCGGCCAAATGTAACTATTTTTTAATTTTTAATTGGCCACAGCTGACCCTATTGAAATACAGTGGGAATGAATTAGGAAAAGCAATAAAAGACCAAAGCATGCAAAATAAAATTAAAAACCTAGACGATCCAGGAGTTCTACACAACCCTATCAGACTGCTTTAACATGTCCAAACACTCACTATCCATCCCTCCTACCTTCTCAAACTGACAGCGCAGTTGGTAGACCCATGTCAGTGTACAGACCACACTGTCAGTAGCCCTTGTCTAAAGGAAGGAATCGGGAAAACAGCCTTGAGGAGGAAGCAGCTTTGAAAATCCCAGGAAAACAGAGATTACTCCACTCATTCAACAAACATTTAATGGGCAGCAACTATGTGCCAGTCACTGTGGGATGCCAAGGCTAATAACAATTAATGTGCCAGGGTCCTAGCCCTCAAGATGTTCACAACCCGGAATGGGAAACAGTCACTTTGATAAATAATTAAAAGCTAGCAAAATTAGGTCAACAATAGCCTGGGCACTGTGACCATGAGGCAAGCATATTAATTCTGTCTGGGCCAACAGAGAAGGTTCTATTGAGGCAGGGCTTGTACAGGATTTGGAGGGAGGAAGTTACCTATTCAGTCCCACATGACTTCCTGCACTCAACAGATGAGCTAAGATGTGTAAAGTGCTGCTAATGTGCAGTACCTTGTGCCTAACACAACTGTGATTGTCATTTAAATTAAATTTTTTTTATTTATTATTAGTGTAAGTGTGGGCACACGTGAATGCCCTGGCCAGAGGGCAACTTTGGGAACTCAGTTCTCACCTTCCATCTTGTTGGTTTTTTTTTAACTTAGAATTTTTTATTTTCTTGGGTCGTTAGGCTTGCTCCAGACTTTTTATCTGCTGAGCCATCTCACCAGCTGTTTTCTTTTTTTTTTAAGAGACTCTAATGGAGCCCAGGCTGGCCTTGAACTTACTATATTGTCAAGGATGACTTGAATTTCTGAGCCTCCTGCCTCTACCTCCCAAGTGCTGGGATTACAGGCATATGCCACCATCCCTGGTTTATGCAGTGCTGGAGTCAGAACCTAGGGCTTTGTGCATGCAAGGCAAGCATTCTACCAACTAAGTCACATCCCTAGCCCAGTTGCCATCTTTATTATTAAATATTATAAATGATCATCATTGTCATTTCCCTTCTAGAGAGCTACTCAGCACTGCCTTTAACTTTGAAGTGGGGTTGTTCTGACATAGCAAGTAGTGGAAAGGGTCCATCTGGCTTTCACCGCATCTACTCTGTCAAATGAAAGAATTTTCTGGAAGAGATGTATTGAGAGTCAGGTATTGAAGGAAGTGGGTATGGACAGCAAAGGGTGATAAGAGAGGGAGACTGTCAAGGCAGGAGGTTCCCTTAGAAACCAAACATGGGTAGGAGAAGCTGGCCTTTCAGGAAGCAAGCTGTGTGTTCTGGAGGCAGGCTGTGTGTTCTGGAGGCAGGCTGTGTGTTCTGGAGGGAGGCTGTGTGTTCTGGAGGCAGGCTGTGTGTTCTGGAGGCAGGCTGTGTGTTCTGGAGGCAGGCTGTGTGTTCTGGAGGCAGGCTGTGTGTTCTGGAGGGAGGCTCTGTGTTCTGGAGGCAGGCTGTGTGTTCTGGAGACAGGCTCTGTGTTCTGACCCTGTAGAAGGGGTTTGACATCATTCATTGGCTCGTTAAGAACTACAGATACTAACAATGGTTAGGATTTGTGTGGCAGCTTTGATAGCACAGCTCTTTCATAAACATTTTCTCATTTAATCCTTGTAACAGTTCTGTGACAGAGGTATTAGAAGCCCTTTACAGATGGGAAAGCCACACAGCTAACCCTGTCACAGGTAGATCTGGAGCCCTGTGTCCCTGACTCCCAAGCTGGGTGTTTCCTGGTGGGCAGTGAAGAGGTGGCCTGTGCCTGACTCTCCAGGGAGCTGCTCTGTGATCTCAGGGGACTTCTGTTCCAGAAAAGGGACACTGTGGGACAAGCCAGACCATGGGTAGGGGTTAG